GGGGGACAATGGGGGACGTTGGGGACAATGGAGAACATGGGGACATTGGGGGACATGGGGACAACGGAGACAACATGGAAGGACACAGGGACGATGGGGACAACAGGGACGTGGAGACTGTCCCCAGCGCCCCCACAGTGTCCCTAGTGCCCCCTGTGCCCCCCAGTGCCCCCCGGTGTCCCCGCGGGGTCCCCACCTTGGCCAGGTACCCCCCGAAATGGGGCATGTTGGACAGGACCTTCTTCTTCTTGGCGTCGTCCTCGGCCCGTTTCTTGGCCTCCTCCTCCTCCTTGCGGAGCTTCTCCTCCTGGGCGCGGGGGACACGGCTGCTCAGGGGCTCCGCCATGTCCCCACGGGCTCCTCAATGTCCCCACGGGCTCCTCCATGTCCCCACGGGCTCCTCAGTGTCCCCACAGGCTCCTCCATGTCCCCAAGAGCTCCTCCGTGTCCCCACGGGCTCCTCAGTGTCCCCAAGGGCTCCTCCATGTCCCCACGGGCTCCTCCATGTCCCCAAGGGCTCCTCCATGTCCCCACGGGCTCCTCAGTGTCCCCACGGGCTCCTCAATGTCCCCATGGGCTCCTCAATGTCCCCAAGGGCTCCCCCATGTCCCCAAGGGCTCCTCCATGTCCCCACGGGCTCCCCCATGTCCCCAAGGGTTCCTCAATGTCCCCAAGGGCTCTTCCATGTCCCCACGGGCTCCTCCGTGTCCCCAAGGGCTCCTCAGTGTCCCCAAGAGCTCCTCAATGTCCCCATGGGCTCCCCCATGTTCCAAGGGCTCCCTGGTGGCCCCAGGGACCTCCGATGTCCCCCAGTGTCCTCAAGGGCCCCCTGTCCAGGGGGCTCCCTGGTGTCCCCAGGGTTTCCCAAGGGGATTCTGGTGTCCCCAGGGTCCCCAAGATGTCCCTGGTGTCCCCAGGCTCTGCCGCCGGTGCCAGGGTGCCCCCCATGTCCTCACGATGTCCCCCGCTGTGTCCCCCGTGCCCCCCCTGTGTCCCCGGTGTGCCCATGTCCCCCGGTCACCGCCAGCCGCGCCTGCC